ACCCCCCCCCCCCTTAAAGACTGTACACGCTCTTTGATACGGTTATAAAATAGCAGGTCTGGTAGTGAAGGGGTCAAAGGGAGGACATTTTCTTAACAATTAACTGAAGAAGCGATCACAAGTTAGGACTAGCAAAAAGTCTTCGAAACCTGTCCTTGACTATCATCGCCAGCTTTGTAGTCTTACCATACTAAAGTTGACAAAAGAGTGTTAACACAACAACAACAACAACAACAACAACAACAACAGCAACAACAACAACAACAACAACAACAACAACAACAACAACAACAACAACTACAACAACAAAGGCGACGACGACGACGACAACAACTACCACAATAACAACAACAACCTCAACAACGGAACAAAAACAACAACAATAGCAACAACAATAACAACAACAACAACAACAACAACAACAACAACAACAACAACGGAATACTGAGAAAGAGTAGGAAAATGAAACAAGGTCTCCCACAGGGTTCCGTCCTGGCACCCATCCTCTTCCTCTTTTATATCGACGAACTGGTGAAACTACTTCCGGATGATCTCACAATTTCACTCAACGCTGACGACGTCTCTATCCTCGTTTCATCACGTACGGAACGAGACGCCGGAAGTCAGGCACAAAGAGTGGTGGACACCGTTGCTGACTGGAGCAGGCGATGGAAACTCACGCTGAACGGCTCCAAGAGCGAGATTACATTCTTCACGCTCGCTACATCTGACTCAGAATGGAGACCAAGCATCACGATCAATAATTCGACTATTAAGTATGAGCTCTACGCAAGACTCCTGGGAGTCACACTCGACCGCAGGTTCACGTTCAGCAAACAGGTTGAGACAGTAATAGCTAAGGCCACACCGAAGACGAGGATGCTCAAAATGGGGATGGAGGAAAGATGACCTACGAAAGGTCTACCTCACATACAAAGTGTCCTGAACTTTGAGAGTAGTAGCTGGCAACTGAGGCTGAGCAAAACTGATAAATAATCTGGAGGTGGTTCAAAGCAGATGTTTGCGACTGATCACCACCAAAGCCCAGTCCTCACCGATCGAGGCACTTCGAGCTGAAACGGGGGTCCAAAGCATTGAGTCTACCATCAATGCTAACTTTCTCCGATCCAGAGAGAAGGCCCTGCGAATGAACAGCGACCACCCCCGACGAATTGCGGCAATGGAACAAGTGCACAGACGCCTAAAGGGACGCAGAGATTTCCGGAAAAAGGCCGAAGACGCCAGCAAAAAGAGCCCAGATCAGTTCAATTGCGAGAGGAGGCTCAGTACTTATTTCGAAACCAGGCCGTGGGAAGGGGGAATCAACCCCGACATCGCTTACCCCCACTTGTACGGCATAAGTGGAAGGAGTGACTCCAGTGCAAAGATTCGAAGCGCTGCTGTTCGTCGAGCACGAGAGCTTGGCGCACAGTACAATATCTACACTGACGGCTCGGTTAGGGCAGGAACAACGGACGGCGGCACTGGGGTCGTCATCATAACGGGGGACCCGTCCAACCCGACCGTTGTCGAGACACTGAGGGAGAAAGGCACCATATTCATGTGCTCTTTCGAGGAAGAGAGGAGAGCCTTGGAAATGGCTGGATTGACAAACAGTGCGATGCATCCAGCTCGGTTGCTATCTTCACTGACAGTCAATCGCTATGCATGGCACTAGTGAGAACATCACCATCCCTCGACCAAATGTGATTACGAACAAATAATGCAACACTCCCAACCCACCATTCAGTGGATCCCTGGTCACTGCGATATCCTCGGCAACGATCTCGCTGACAGTAATGCCAAACTGGCAACAGCGCTGCCGGGTCCAGGCCGCCAAATTACACATTATGAAAGTGCGTACGCCCAGATAAAACTCATCACAAAAAACCCTCCGACATCCTACACGTGAACGAAGGAAATATATAAAGCGTAATTTCTATAAAACGAGAGGCTCAAACTAAGTACCGCAGTGACCAGTCACTACTGGCAAAAATCAGGACCGGTCACTTCTCAGGGCTGCGGGCCTCCAAAAATGGAATAGACAAAAGATCAGACCCAATCTGTCCATTGTGCAGCGAGGAGCCTGAAGATTTGGAGCACTGGCTTCAGAGATGCCCCGCCATGGAGGTCCGGCGGTGGCATCTCTTTGGGGAGGATTCTGGGACTGCCTCACCCGCTACCCCAGAGAGGCGGTGGCCCTGGCGAAGAGCACGCTCTTCGGGGCTTCAGACATTTCGAACGGATAGGCTACCATACACACACACACAACAACTACAACAACAACAACAACAATAACAACAAAAACAAAAACAACAACAACAACAACAACAACAACAACAACAACAACAATAACAACAACAGCAGTAGACCCAAAAAAGACAGAGAAGCCCACCATTGCCGTACTGCTGAATGGCTTCCAGTGCCGTTTTCGCCTCGGTTAGAGCGCTGAACGTCTCCGCAATGATGTAGTCAGCCCCGGCCTTCAGCGCCCATTCAATCTGCTCCTGGTAAGAAGAAGACAATAGATGAAAATACACTATCACACATTTTTTTGAAGTTATGAGACTTTTTCTTGTTCATCTGCCGCCCCCCCCCCCCCCCCGCCTTTTTCCCAACCAAAAACAAAAAGAAGAAATAATACTTATACACACAGAAAACCCCCCAAAATAACCCAAAAAAACCCCAACCCCACAAATAACAGTAATCAAACCTATATAACGATGATAATGATATTAGAGAACAATAATTAAGAAGCTGACACTGTTCCTGACGAATCGCTAGATGACGAGGTATACTACCCAACTTCTCTTACCTTTTTACAATTTTCAACAGCAACGATGATGATGATGACAATAATGATGATGATGATGATGATGATGATGATGATGATGATGATGATGATGATGATGATGATGATGATATTAGTCTTTCTACTATACATATTTCCCCCGCGTGCTTCACAGTCTGTCTGTCTGTCTATTTGTCTTTCTGTCTATTCGTGCGTCTATGTATCAGTCTGTCTGTGTGTTTGTTCGTTTCTTTCTAGTTCTATGTCTATCCGTCTGCCTGACCGTCTGTCTGTTTGTCTAAACTTAAACATTTCCCACGCTAACTCCACAGTCAATCTGTCTGTCTGTCTGTCTGTCTGTCTGTCTGTCTGTCTGTCTGTCTGTCGGTCTGTCGGTCTGCCTGTCTGTCTGTCTGTCTGTCTAACCTTAAACATTCCTCGCGCCATCTCCACAGTCCCAGGATCGGCCAAATCAAACACCGTCGTGTTACAAATATTTCCCGCCATCAGGCAACCATTGGCGTCTGCAACTTCTCGCGCCATTTTCAAGGCCTTCAGGTTTAAGCTTTCCAAGTCTCCCTCTCTGCCGATTGCTTTGAGCTTTTCACGATGGCCGTAGTACTAAATAAGACAGAAGTGATATAACATGGATAAAACAAAAAGAAAGAGAATATTATTATTATTTCTTTGGCAACAGAGTGGCAGTTTAATAAGATAGGCCTACTCATGCGCCCAGAATCCCTCATTACTTCTGTAGCAAAAAAAACAGCAAGGAGAAAAATTAAAATGCAATAAAAACACAGTAAATCTAATTTGAATTTTTACAAATAAATTAACTTTTCCCTGCTAGAGCGTTAATATTCAGAAATTTAAAAAAAATCTTTTCTCAAGAAGAGACAAATTTAGATCTAGCAGTAATATGATTAAATTAAGTGGATTTATTTATTTATTTATCTATCGCTTGAGCTTCGGATGTATAGTGTGTGTAGACC